AAGGTTGATTCGTATGTCCTTTCATCCAGATGCTTATGGTGACCAGTGACTAATGAGGGAAGAGCTACGTATTTACTGAAAGAAGTAGATTCTAGGTTGAGGAGCACTGTAAGGAGAGCTTCTGGCCAAGGGACATTAAAAGCTTCTGGAAATTTTACTTACTTGAGTTTTAATTGGACCACTTGTATGTTCTGCTAATCCAGAAAACAGGGGTGATAGGCACAATGAAAATACTGCAGAGCAGGCCGGATATTCTGAATGCGTTGCAGTATTAGCACAGTTAAATGAGTCCCTCAGTCACTGTCACTCGGAGGAAATTCCCCAACTGGGAATTAATTTTTTCCAATAATAATTTAGCTTCCAGTAAGGCTGCTACTCTCCTGCAAGGGAGTACCTCAACCCAGTGAGAAAACACACAAATCGTAACTAACACATCTTTGCATTCCTGAGATGGTGACATTTGGATAAAAGTCATTCCTTAAAGGGCCTCTGCACGTCATGAGAAATGCACTCTGACACTCCACGCTGACTCTTAGTTGCCTAAGTAAACCCTAGAAATGGGCTGGAGGGAGGAAGTGCCTCTTATCTTCGGAGCTGAACAAGTTCAGGCCCTCATTTATCCAGTAAAAGGTTTTGTTCAGACCCTCATAAAGCAATTCCAACTGAAAGCCGCCCATTTTTCTCCTGCCCTGAGTTTGGGACTCCCACCTCACCCTGGGTTTTATCAGCCCTTGCCATTTAGCTCCACCTTGAGGGTGTGTTTTTAACAGCTCACATAAAGCCAGTGCCAAGAAGTTTGGGCTTCTGAAATAGTGTGTGAAGCCCGGGCAGGGCATATCGTTTGGATGTGATCATCAACAAGCCCAAGGAGCTTTCATCTCCCCTTGCAGGTGGGACATGAAATTGTTAGTCTGTGTCTAATATTCGCAGTGTAAGCCAAACCAGTTCCCCCTCCCTCCTGTGGGGTGTTCTTTCTTGCATTTGTGACAACACTGGACGTTGCCGTGATAAGCCCCGTGGCTCTGTGTGCTGTTCAAAGTGATCGCAGGAAGGTTCTGGCCTCTCTGTGCCTTGCTGAGGACATTTGCCGCAGGAACAGCTGCTCCCCCCATGGAAACAAAGTCTTCTTGGAGTAACAGGCTTTGACGTGGAACAGACTGAGGGGCCTCAGAGGGAAGGCGGGGA